CCGAACATGCCGAGCATGTTCGGCCGACCCGAAGCCACGCGAAGCAAGCCGATGATCGGCTGATTTCAGCCGATGTACGGCTGATTTCAGCTGTACCAGCCTGAAGTGAATAGCCGAACAGTGTTCGGCTCACTTCACTTCAGATCGGTCATTCACTCGGCTGCACTCAGCAGCTTAGTGAATAGACCCCTTTGTCTCCTGCCAACAACTGCACAGTGGGTGCCTTGTTTTCTGTGGGGAAGTAGTGGTCTCAGCGGAGGTCCTGCTGACTGGAACACTCTGGTTCTGACTCAGCAGGGGGGATGTTAGACCTCTGCAAAGAGATCATTGCTTCCTCACAGAGAGCAAGGGTTCCACTCTGCACCATGCTGGCAGAGGGCAGGGTACTCAAGTTGTTGCTGATTGGAAAAAAAGTAAGATTTTGCAAATTTTTTGTATTGATGCACCTGGAATGTATTTACCTAAACTGAAATGAAAGCTGCACTTTCTAAATCTCTGTCAAGTTTGTAATGTTGTCTGCATTTTCTTTTCTTGGTGATAAGCAAAAGCTTCTGTCTTGCTTTTCATGGAGGCTCTTGATCTCTCCTTATTATGCATTGCTGTATATCAATATCCAACTAAGATACTGTATATTTACCCAAAACAAAATTGATTACAAGGTACCGCATTATTTTCTATTTTGTCTGCCAGAATTCACCTAATGTACCACCAATAAATTTACAGTTTGTAACATTCCTCCTTAGAATCCTTTTGATTAATTCAAGACACATTCTGATCACAATTGTTGTGTTGTGCATCCACAACCATCTGGTACACAGTAATCTTGTAGACACCATATAGGCCAACAAAAAAAAAGATAAAAATGCAGAGCAAATGCTGCAACAAAGGACTTTTTCACCATTAAAATACGCAAACAGGAAGCAGGCCAGATACAATAGTTAAGCGTTCATGGCAGATGATGGACAAACTGTTCTTCCTGACCATGTTTCAGGTCAAAGGAGAGCTGTGTTTTACAGTGCTAGTTTTAGTTTGGGGTAACAGCATTCAGGTCATCTTGAAGTCATCAAATAAATGTTTAATCTGAATCTATTTTACTTACCAGTTTCTAAAAGTAAAATCCTTATGCTTAGTAAATTGTAACATACAATTACCCCACAAACCTAAACTCCTACAGACAAATTCAAAGTGTGCTGTAGGCACATTTTACTTATAGTGACATGGGGCAAAAATATAGCAGCCTGCCTAGGTGGTTATAATATTACTCATATGAATGTATGGCGTTTGAGCATATGTGTGTGTGTGTGTGTGTGATGTCATCCCATACTGTGTGGACTTAAGCAGTGTGCAGCATATCAGAATTCCCATAATGACTCGAGGCACCAGCTTCAGATACATTTTTGATTGGCTGCCGCCATGAATTTTCCTTTTTGTTTACCAGTGCCAGTGAAGGCCTAAGGCTAAGCAAACCGCAATTTATCACAGTGATGGAAAAACATTAGAAGCATTCACAAAGCTGCTGAAGAATCTAGCCGTAGCTTCGGTTGATTCTTCGGCTAACTTCAGCCCCAGGACACCTTCGGTTCAGTAGAACCGAAGGGCTGCTGTACGGGCTATTTACTATAGCCCGTACAGCTCCCAAAGTTGGGCGAGGTGCTCAGTCGAGCCGAAGGCATATGCTTCGGCTCGACTGAGCCCAGGGGAAACTCGAAGCCGGCCTTTGGCCGGCCGACAGCCTGCTACTCACAGCTGGGCGGAGTCGGCCTTCATCTCACAGCTGCCTCCGGCCACTTGCAGATTCAGATCAGCGTCCCTGGTTACCTAGTAACCAGGGACGCCGTTCTGACATTACACCGCGGCTCCGCCAGGTTCTCCGTGTGTAATGACAGATGGGCGTACCCAGTAACCAGGGATGCCCATCTGTCATTACAACGAGAGCTTAGGAGAGCCGGCAGTGATATGAAAGCCGACTCTGCTAAGCTCTCATCCTAATGGCAGAACAGCGTCCGCTGGTTACTTGCATATCAAATGAGAGCTTACTATGTAACCAGCGGACGCTGTTCTGCCATTAGGATGAGAGATTAGCAGAGTCGGCTTTCATATCACTGCCGCTCCGACAAGCTCTCATTGTAATGACAGCTGGTCCCGGCCAATAGAAAACAGTTGGGCGTAGCTAGCTGTCACCCAATCTATTTTTTTTTACTTTTTTTGACTATTTTTCTTTTCTTGCTCGGTACCACCAGAGGTACCGAGCAGAATAGCCGAGCTAAATGCCGAGTGAGTGAATAGCGTTCGGCTATTCACTCACTGCTGTTCGACATCTATGAGAATAGGCCAAACAACAGCGAGTAGCCTGCCGGAGGTTCGGCTCCGCCGATCCAGATGTTTGATTGCCTGAGTCGAACTCCTTCTGCACTTCGGGTCGGCTAAACATGCTGAGCATGTTCGGCCGACCCAAAGCCA